TTTCCTTTTTTTCCCCCCCCCCCCCATAGATAGACTGGGCTTGTTTCTTTTGTCTAGGAGGATGTCTTAAGAATATTTCATGTGTGGCTTGAGGTGCCGAGTCATTAAAATCTCACTGGGACAACTGACATGGAAGACACTAAGGCCATGTCCAGATGAGCATGGCTGGGCAACATATTGCACATTTCATTGTTCTCTGCACCACAAGGCAGCAGTGTGGAGGGTTTTTTTTTTTGACTGCTGGGTACCCAGGGGTCAAAAAAACCTGAGGAGAAAAAAAGCAGAGTGGTGCATGTGGCAGCAGCGTGCACTGCCCAAAGCCAGAGCCTGGCCAGCTGGAGCTGTGCTTCGCTGCTGATCAGGATCCACGTGGCAGGATTTCCACTACTGCAGTGCTGCCTCCCCAGTGCTCGCCCCAGCCTTCCCTACCCCACCTGGGGTAACTTGTCCTGCCTGAGTGCACACGTGACATAGGCATCCCCAGGGAACCAAATGTCCATGCACATCTGGATATTGTCTGAATGACTACCTCTCAGAAGTCTCTCTCCTTTATTTAAAAATGCACAATATATTATTTTCTAATGGCTTAGAGATGACATATCATTCATAAATAGTAGAGCCAAATTATAGCATCATTGATAATAGGACTATTAATTTGTATTTATTACATAGTCTCCATCACCTATTCTCTTTTTCAAAAGGAAGAGTTGTCCAAAGACCAGTTATTATCTTGAAAGTATGCATCACTAAAATAGTGATTTTACTGCCCAGATGTATTATTGATACCTTAGTATTTCATATGATGGAAATGGGAAATACAGTAGTGGTAGCCAGACATCTATGGGCCAAAAAAAATGAATCCTGTGTAGTGCTGATCTTCAATGTCCTAAATAATCCATGATTGTATAATTATTACATTTTAAATAAAAATTCAGGAGAAATTGCCCTTCCATAAAAAAAGAAAACATGTAAATAATGGATATTTATGATAGAAAACAATCCAGAGACAAACAGAATAAACACCAGAAAACTATAGTGCAGATCTGTCACCCTTTTGTATTTATTTTATATTTATAAATTGTTCCCAATTTCTCCTGCAGCAGGAAGAGTTTTCAACTACATATGCTGCCATGACTGCAAGTTTCCCCACATACCAAAAAGCAGAAAGAGATCCACCTGCTAGGAAAAAAAAATCTGAATAAGAGCAGAATGAGAATATGAAGAAAGGGAGGAAAAGTAGGGAAGCAGAACACATTTTATTAGTGACATACCTCTTTAATGAGACTCATAAAGCGGGTCCCAAAGCGCCATGGCTTGTGCCGATTACACTGTAAGGAACTGACAGTCATCTGTGGGAACTGCTGGACAGCCACTGACACCACATGAACTGCATCATACATTAAAGCAGCATCCGTCTGAAATTAGAATGAAATCAGTGCAGTGAACATAAAATTGAATGACAGGAATGAGAGGGGAAAAAATCTGTCCTGCTGTTCGATATGATGCAAAGAGAAAACAATTTGACTGCTTGTGCAGTACTGTCAAAAGCAACCTGGTTACCAAGTTCATACACCAGAAACATCAAGCTCTTCAGTTTCAGCTTTTCTTTTTTTAATCCTGAAATAAGGGCCCAATTACCAGCTATCCACAACCATTGTGGAGCACTGACATCTATGATAACTTGTTTTTATATTTAAAAAGCTGTACCTTAGAAGCCTGTATAAATCACACTATACATATATATGTCAGTGAACAAGTTATTCCCTTGACTGAGAAGAATAATGAAAAATTAGCAAAGGCTGCAGCTAAAAAGTACAGAGAACATGGAAATATCCATTTATTTCCATTTTATAATTATGGAAAAAAATAAAATCTCAAAGGTGTTCAGCATATTTGCTAATCACTTTTTCAGGTGTAAGCATAATCCCTAGGGTTGACTTGACCAATATCCCCTATAAATGAGAGACAATTTAGAATTACACTGAAACACAGATGCATCATTTTAATTGCTATCTTGTGTCCTTTGAAATAAATAGTCTGTTCAGACCCAGAATAGATTAACTAGTCTTGTTCTACCAACAGCACTGAGCCAGCTTCTCAGTATATTCTGTAATATGATGTTTTGAGAAACTAATATGCCTCTTCTACTACACCTGATAAACAGAGGAAAGCCTTCCCACCAAAACAGAAGAGGACTTCACAGACTCAGCTGGTACAAATGAACTCTATGCCATCTGCTCAGTATACCTTAGAGGAAAAGGACCTATTTCCCCTTCTCATTCACATAATTAGTGAGCTGTGAAATGAGTTCTTTAATGGATAGGAAACCTGGAGATTATTGCACTTGTCACAATACAATACAATGCAATACAAAATGAGCTTATATAGTGCCTTTCATGCAAATGCATCCCAAGGCACTTTACAATAAAACTAAACATAAAAATGCAAAAGTGTTCTGCCATTATGGATCATAAGCTAGTGTTAAAAGAGAGAATATACTTTTAGATTTCAATTGGTCTCCTGAGGTGACATTGCAAAAATTCACATAGGAATAAATCCCAATTTTAAAATAGCCAGTGCACTGGTTTGGGAGATAATCCTAAGCAGCTAGCAGGTTTGTATGGAGACTGCAACCCAGAAAATACACAGGTCCCAAATTGCTCACTACTTTCTAAGTCATTAGAGAGCTTTTAAGTGCAAATTGATATCTGACAAAGAGCCTATGAAGCTCCCAAAAGCTGAAGTAACATGCTGAGTCTGCTTTATATGAGTTAAAATACTGGTGGCAGCATTTCAAGTTAGAGTCTAGACAACAATCTCTCAAGTTAACCATAAAATAAAGTACTACTTATTGTTTTGGCTCAGAAATGCATGCACTGTGGTCTTCTACTAACTAACTACATTCCACTAACTAATGAAGAGAAATGTTGCACACAGATCTCCCATAGCAATTGGCAGTCAGAAGTCTTTCCACAGTGACCATCACAGTTTTCAGCAGAGTTTGGTAGCCATGTTAAAGTCAAAAAGAAAGTAGGACAGGGTGGCACCTTAGGGACTAACTGGTTTAAAGAGGCAGCTGCCCTCCATTCCCCTGGCATACATGAGGTACCTTGATGACATTACCTTTATGTGGACACATGGGAAGAAATTACTAGAGAAAAAAATCTACTGGGAATTTAGTAACCGTTCCTCCATCAAACTAACACTTCAATACTCCACCCAGAAAATTCATTTCTTGGACACCATTGTGAAAGTTTGCAATGTTTCACAGTGGTATAGCTAGCCTGTATAGCTATACCACTAGCTTCTATCCTAAACATGCGAATAGATCCATCTTAGGGGACCAGGATGAACACCTTAAAACAAGTTTGTTACACTTAGGGCTCATATACATGTCACAATTTTTGCCCTTTCATGTGCTGCAACAGTGTATCTGTTTGCACAAGCAGGATTTGCCTATGTTTCAATGTCTGCCTTGTGCATTAAATTAAAACCCCTCAGATATAGTTTGGCTTGGCTCGCAGGGAATTAAAGAATCGTGTCCATGGGTTTGTTGCATGCAAAAACAAAAGGCACTCAGAGACATGTAATGAGCTTCTTTGTCCACCAGATTACAGCATTTGGGGTTCATGCATCTGTTCCTCCACTAAAGTCATATACGACATCACCTGCTTACTGGCACTCTCTACTGGCTACATTATCCAGACATCGAAATCTTGATGTAGAAGGATGAAAGAATGAACAGATATCAATTCAACATCAGTTTTACTAAGACACAAAAGCATGTGGTTTTTCTAACACTTTAACATAAATGGACTTTCTATTAGTGACCTCAGAGTAGCTGTGCTTAAACAAAAAACCTTAAAAACCAACTTGAATGCTAAACTAAGAAATAAGATATCATCCACAGAATTAATCACGTTAACCAGAATTAACTTTGATGCTTGCTGTGGTGGCCATTAGACCTATTAGATAAACCAGCTCCATTATTCATGCAAACTTTGTTTCATTAACCCATCCTTCTCAGTAAGCTTGAAGTTATACTTGTGCTTAAGTACTTTCTTGAGTAAAGATGGATTCAGATACACACTTAAATTCTTTGTCATATTGAACTAGTATTTTCCTTCCCCATCTCACTAGGTGTGTATCTTGATTGACTGAAAGTGAGAGACCCGAAAAAGGAAGCAGGTAGGCAGAGCTTATGTCAGATGTGAATGGCTATGGTACCTCTACAGGCATTCCCACCTCCTTAACTTAACCTTTGCAGATTTGCAGGCAGTGAGACGTTGACACTTTTGACTCTCCTACCCCACCTTGCCCACCCTCCCTAGTTTGTATCTAGGAATTGTGTACAAGTTTGAGTGATTATCTGCTCTGAGACCGGGACAGAATCGTCCCCATCAAAATTTCATGATACATTTATAAGAAGGTGACTGTTTCAGCAATTAGAATATTTTAAGCAGACTTTGAGGCAGAACATCTATGAGTGATGACCAAGGTAACTATTGAATTTCAGAGTCTAGTTAAAATAATCTCATGCAGAAGAATTTCTGACACAGGACAACAAGGTGCATAATGAGTTGGGAAATTGAAATGAGTGTTTTTTTTTCTAAAATTCTCTAAAGTTAATTTCAGCTCTCTAAATTTGCCAAACATGATGCTACATATAATAGCTGATGTGTGCCAGCATTTAATATTGAAATGGACCAGGTCACAGGTGTTCTGACCTAGTGATTAGGCCACTGAGAGAAGGCAGGAGCTGGGAGCCTACTTTAAAACACAGGATAAGTCAGAGTTTGGGAATCAAGTTACCAGGTTTCAAAGGGAAACCCTAGACAAACTCCAGAACACAGGCTGGGACAAGGTTCAAGAGCTAATACCAAGTGACCAGATTCAGAGGAAAGTCCAGGGGCCGAGTCCAAAATGTAGGCAGAGTCAAAGCCCCAGGCACATGTAGCCCACTAGGCAATTAGCTCAGACTGGTTATAATTGTTATTTTGTCACAACCAATTTCACTCATACCCTTCACTGTATTTGCAGTGGGACCAACAGTTATCTCCTCCCAGGTGAATGAATTACCAAAGCCTCAGCCCAAATGTTCTGCCGTCTCAATTCTCTGAAACTGGACAACATGATGATTCAGTACAAATGTTTTCCACTACAACAGCAGAGAAGCTAACACAATCACAAAGTGATTCATCCAGAACAGAAAATAATCCCATATTCAGTTGAGCAACATATTCTCCTTCTTAGTTCCATTCTTTTACCATTCTCCCTCCTGCATTTCTGTATGGATATTATATTTGTCTATTTTAATTATGTGCATTTGCACAGAAATGCATAAAATTGCTGAAATACTGCTTGGTAAGTACCACATAGATATTTGGAAGACAATGTTCATTCTGCCAGCTGTGGTGGGCATTTGATGTAGCTGGAAGTAGTGAAGAGGTAATGGATAGGGAGGAAGTCTTAAGCAGGAACAGTATTTCTAGTGCTATGCTTTTCTTCATCAACTCCAGAGTGTTGAGAGTTTGGCTTTTTTCCATGGTTTTTTTTTCTTTGTGGTGTCAAAGGACAGAAGACAGTTTCTAACATCTAGGTACTATGTTTTTTTTTCTCCCATACCAGAACAGCCATTGGCAATGACAATGTGGGAATGGAAGAAAACTATAGCAAATGGAAGTGGTTTGGGGCTGTGTACAGATTTTTGAATATAAAGTGGAGGAAAGGATGAAGGTTTATCACCAGCTTTGTGGGTGAGAAAAGCCACTGCAGGTATCATATTCCACCTTCACCCTTTCCATCCTTTATTGGGTATGTTGGGGACTACGCTGATCTTCAGTTTTGGGGGCTGGAAGGGCTGTATCCTACATGGAAAAACCGACAGTGTGGCATGGATTTGTTTCTTTTCTCCATCTGGAATCCAGAAGGCCTGGCTTTAATGGTCTCATGTACCTGGTAGATCAGAAAAAGGACTAATTAAGGACTCTAAAGTCTACTGAGATAATTAGTCACTATCTGGCCTTGAACTTGAAGCTACAGCCTGTCAGTGCAGATGCTCATCTCAGGCTTCCGCAACATAGTTAGACACCTAGACTACTCACTCAGGCCAGCCCTAAAGCTTCCAGTCTAGACTAACCCTCTGCCCATTCCCTGTTACTCATGTATCTGGCCAGGGTCAGCTGCCCCTCCACTTCCCCCATTTAAACCCCTGACCAGCAACAGAAAGCATCTGAGCAACAGGGCTCAGTCTGACCCTGGATAGTGCAGCCTGATCTTCTGGGTTCTCAACCTAGTTTGCTCTCTAAGTCCTTCTACTCTGCCTGATCTTCCAGCTTCTTGACTTGGTTTAAGACCCTGCACTTGGACTGACGTCCTGGCTTCCTGACCTGGCTTGTCCCTAGATTTTGCTCAC